ATGAATCTCGATACCCAGGAAGAAACTAAGCTCTCCAAGATCTTTTAGTGCAAACTCAACCCCTAACAACTTCACAATTTCTTCAACTTGTGCACTTTACTTGCCTGTAATTATTATATCATCTACATACACCAACATGTACATGTAGCTTCCCTGGACACATCTAACAAACAAAGAAGTATCTACCTTGGACTCCATAAACCCATTAGTAAGTAAACATCGCTTTAACTTGTTATGCCAACTTCGGGGTGCCTGTCTCAAGCCATATAAGACTTTTTGAAGTTTACAAACTAATGGTGTACCATCAGGCTCCCTCTACTCAAACCCAGGTGGCTGTTGCATGTACACATCTTCACTCAAGTCTCTATGCAAGAAGGCATTGTTTACATTAATCTGCCGTAGTTGCCAACCCTTTGTCACAACTAGAGTCAAGACCACATTCAGCGTGGTAAACTTAACCACTGGACTGAATGTCTCATGAAAATTATGACATGGAACCTGCGAGTACCCTTTGGTTACAAGTCGAGCCTTATACCGATTGATAGACCCATCAGGATTTTTTTTAATTTAAACAGCCATTTACATCCTACCACTGACCATTTTTCAGGCAAAGGCCCGAGGGACCAAGTAACATTATTCTACAAAGCTTCAATATATTGCATTTCTCCAATGAGGTGACTGAAAAGCCTCATACACGTTGACAGGTTCCATAGTAGCATAAGTAGTCGAATACACCTTAGGCTTGAAGATCCCACACTTGCTTCTGGTAAGCATAGGATGAAGATTCATCCTGGGCTCCACACCACCTTGTCCACCAGATTCCACATTATTTTGTTCACTGATTTCCACATCATTTTGTGCATGAGAGCCACTTGTATCCATTGTTGCTTCATAATTCTCCACAATAATATCACAATTAACAGTAATATTATGTTCAATACCCAAGGATGAGTTCGAGCATTCACCTGAATTCAAGGACTCATCTCCTGCTATTTCAGACACATTTCCATGTGTCACCTCTTCGCATGACTCAACAGGTGTAGTAAGACCATGCACACCATTATTCATATGAAGCAACTTCCTCACATCAGCAACAATCTCAATACCACCACATTTTGAAACAACATCATTGGATGTCGTGCGATAGGTTGTATCACCTGCAAATGGAAAAATTGACTCATCAAACACAACATGTCGAGAGATGTGAACTCTCCCATTAGTGGCTAAACACATGTAGCCCTTATGTTGTGGACTATATCTTAAGAACATGTATGGCTGAGACTGAAACTCCAGCTTGTGCCTTTGAAACACTCGTAAATGTGGGAAAAATTTACAGCCAAACACCCTCATGAAGCTATAATCAAGTTTTTTTTCCCCGTAACTACACTAGAGGAGATACCCAACTCAGTACCTTAGTTGGAAGTCGATTTATGAGATAAACTGCAGTAACATTAGTATAGTACCAATATTGTAAAGGCATTGCAGCCTGAGCTAAAAGTACTAAGGTAAACTCAACAATGTGTCTGTGAATTCTCTCAACCACCCCATTCTGCTCATATGTATGTGGACAAGCTACTCGGTGAGATATGTCATCCTTAGCTAAAATAGGTGAGAGACTTCGATGCTCACCACCCAAGTCACTCTGCACAGCTTTGATGGCAACACCAAATTGGGTCAGCACCATTTGCTGAAACAACTTGAAAACACTAACAGCTTGTGATCGATCTTTTAGAAAATACACCCACGTGTGTCTAGAGTAGGCATCAACAAATGACAAGTAATATCGATATCCATTAGAAACTACATTCGATGGTCCCCAGATATCAGTAAACACAAGTTGAAAATGTGAACTATACACTGTACAAGAATTAAAAAAGGGTAACTTATGACTCTTGCCAATACAACATGCTTCACAAAATTTATTCATTGCTTTAGAAACCTTTACATCAAATGTTTTACAAACATCTGCAATAGTACTATTGGTAGCATGACCCAAAAGAGTAAAATCATTGAATGCAACAGCTGAACTAGTTGAAGCACTCTCATAAACACCTAACAAACGCTCTCCTGAAAAAATATACAACCCTCATTCAACACGCCCACACATCTTTTGTATCAACATCACGAACACAACACCCTTGATCATAAAACTCAAAGTATACACCATTGTCCCTAGCAAACTTGGACACCAAGAGAAGGTTCTGTGTTATTCTAGGTACATGCAGTAAGTCATTTAATAGCAAAGATCTAGATGGTGTTACTAAAGTACCATCACCAATCATGTTAACACGTAGAGACACATCATTACTGACAGTAAGCTTACCTGAACAACCATGTTCTGATCGATGAGTAATATTACCAAAATTGGGTATCACGTGATGAGTGGCTCCATAATCCACCACCTATTGATCTTGAGCAGAAGCAGTAGTTAAGTAAGCTTGAGAAGAACTCTTTGTAGTCAGCTGTCTTCGAGCCCCATTCAAGCAGCAATCACAACCAGGACAACTAGCTTTGTCATAAGAGACGTTATTAGCATTAGTTGTATCTCCTGCATATTGAGAACAACCAACATTAGTGGATACAATATGAAAGTCTTTATCAAAGCGATGCCAACACCTGTCAACAAGATGATCAGGTTTTTCACACAGTTGGCATTGCACACGCGATCGGTCATGAACACGACCACCTCATCCCCAAATCCTTCCTCTAGAATACGAGGACTGATACGATCGATGACTATATGAATTAGAGCTAGGCTTAACAACATCTGCTCGAGCAACATGAGCACTGGCCAGCATTAAATCTTTCTGAGCAACAAATCCAGTTAACTGAGTCTCAGCATCAATCAGAATTATGCTCATATTTTCTAAGGAAATAAAGTCCCCACTGGTAGTTATAACTTCCATTAAAGGCTGGTACTCCTGAGGTAACCCTTTCAGTATGCTTGCAATATGACTAACTGTGGGAACATCACTGCCACATGATGCTAAGGCATCACATGTTTCTTTAACCCGAGACAAATACACATGCATGCTATCTTCATATTTCTTGAGCGAATGTAGTTTACAGTGAAGATTCATAACAGTTGTTGACGATCTCGTTGCAAAGATTTGTAACATTGTATTTCAAACTACATATACAATTTTTGCTCCAACAAACTGAGAGAGTAAATGTGGGCTGATGGTCGATAATAACCATGATGCTAACGCACTATCCTAAGCTATAAAGTCTTCATAATCTTCATTTGGAACCATTGTACCATCTTCAACAGCCAGACACTCCGGTAGAGGCCTCATTGCACCAGTGAATAGTTGTTCCAGCCGATGACTCCTTACTATGAGAAGCACTTGCTGCTTCCAGAGCAAGAAATTTGCTTCATCAAGCACAACATTAATCTTCTTGTTTGTAAAAATCTTGATTCTACTTGAAAGAGATAGAGTATCAGCAGCAGCCATGAAAACCGAAAGGTGTTTAACTTGGCCAAATTTTCAACAATAAGTTGGCAGCATAATGGGGCGGCTAATTGGTTCAAAGTTGGCAGGAGAAATTGTTGAAAACTAGCAATGGTAAAATCTCAAATTTAGTCTATGTAATTTAGGGTATTTACAAGATTAGTCCTTAAGCTTCAACTATAAATACCCTAACCCATTTAGCTTAAAAATCATCCCAAATCATTCTAGCTTTCTCCCAATACTAGAGAATTTAGAGAGTTTCTTGAGAGTTGTTTTCTCTTTTTTATCAAGAGAGAATTGTCATTGTTTTCTCCTTGTTAGATCGAGAGAAGTTGTAATTCTTATTTTCTCATAGTGAAATTCTTCTACTGTTGCATGTGGTTTTTATCCTATATTATTTAGGGGTTTTCCACGTAAAATTTGTAATATTCTTGCAGCAGAAACAAACCCTCCAAGACTTATGGCGATTGATATCATGTTAGGTAATCAATATGTATGAACATTGAGGAATATTATTGTTGTTTTTTTTTCTCATAGTACTTACACCATTATATAACAAGTAATCAACCACAACTACCTAACCACTCAGCTATAACAAACTAACAACTTAGCAACTAATTACAACTTATTGCAACTGCCTACATACATCAGCCTATACACATCAGTTACATTGCACACACGTGTTTTTTTTGTTTTTTTTAAATTGTCAACTTATATTTCCGTTAATGGATTAATGAGAGTTAACCGTCAAATGACTAAAATCGAACGGATCTATAACATAAGAGATCAAATGTATTTAATTTTTAAACTGATGACTAAAGTCGATCATACCGAAATAGTTTACCCAAAAATTTATTGTAATTTGATGAATTTCTTAACATATTCATTGAAAACGACTATTGTTAAATAATACCCAAAGGTAGAAAAAAGATCTTATTAGTTATTAGATCCCATAAAAAGATTTGCTTTATTTCGCTTTTTTAAAACAACTATTGTTAAATAATATGTCATAAACTTTATACGTTTGTTCATTTGTTTATGTTTATCGTGTAAAATTAGGTTCGAAAAATCAATCTGTCTAATAAAAAGAATATTTATATATTTTTACACATTAAACATATAAATTATAGTAAAACCACACATATATAAATTTTGATAAAAATATTATAATGATAGTATTATTTTTTTCTTGTTTGCTCTTTTTGAAAAAATTGTTCAACAATAACAGGGAAAAGAGCAGCATCGTTCTCCAAAAGGCTGCGAGGCCCAAAGCTCTCCATCTCACCGTTCCCCAAAACATCTTAACATTGCCAAAGCGGATCACAGCCGTTCACTAACACCGACATGGCCAACAAATCTTGTCCCTAGGAAAACAAAATTCTCGAGTAGTTACAATTCTGATGATGGTAAAACTGTATATCACTCAGGATTCAAATGCTTTATCGTATTTTGCCCTCAACAGCGCGGCTTTCGCTGTCAAAAGAAAAAAGAAAAAACTCTATAAACAACCCCCATTAATTTGTTTTCATAAACCATAATCGGCTGAAGCATTGGGTTAGGAGGATTTAGATAAAAAACCGGTTCACAATCCTCTGTCAATGGGGGTGTTTCGTTCGAAACAATTCAATCCCCGTTATTAATCTCCGGTTTTTATTTTTGATTTGCATTCTGGGTTTTCTTTTTCAGGATCAATGGAGGCTGACAGAAAGCACATTACCGCCGACGAGCTGAAACAACACAAGAAGCCAGGAGATTTGTGGATCTCAATCCAGGGTAAAGTTTATAATGTCTCGGATTGGGCAAAAGAGCATCCTGGCGGTGAAACGGCGCTTCTGAATCTGGCTGGCCAGGATGTTACTGATGCGTTCATAGCTTATCACCCCGGAACCGCTTGGCAATATCTCGATAAGTTCTTCACTGGGTATTATCTCGAAGACTTCAAGGTCTCGGAGGTGTCCAAGGATTACAGAAGGCTCGTCTCCGAGTTTTCCAAAGCGGGTATGTTCGGAAAGAAAGGCCATGTGGCGTTTTGTTCATTAGCATCCGTAGCTATCATGTTTGTCGTTGTTCTTTACGGCGTTTTGATATGCGAAAGCGTGTGGGCTCATCTGGGTTCGGCTATGGTTTTGGGTATGCTGTGGATGCAAAGCACGTACGTCGGTCATGATTCCGGTCATTATCAAGTAATGGCTAGCCGTGGTTACAACAGGCTCGCTCAGATAATCACCGGGAATTGTTTGACCGGAATCAGCATTGCCTGGTGGAAATGGACTCACAATGCTCACCACATTGCCTGCAACAGCCTCGATTACGACCCCGACCTCCAACATATCCCTGTTTTCGCGGTATCTTCGACGTTTTTCGATTCCTTATGGTCTTGCTTTTACGGCAGGAAGTTGAATTTCGATCCGCTGGCAAGGTTTCTCATCAGTTACCAGCATTGGACGTTTTACCCTGTTACGTGTGTGGCCAGGGTGAACTTGTATTTGCAAACATTACTGCTATTGTTTTCACCGAGCCGGAAAGTCCCGGATAGAGCTTTAAACATAATGGGGATCCTTGTGTTTTGGACTTGGTTCCCTCTCTTGGTTTCTTATCTACCCAATTGGCCTGAACGATTCATGTTCGTCCTCGCGAGCTTCGCCGTTACATCGATTCAACATATCCAATTCTGTTTGAATCATTTCTCTGCAAATGTATATGTTGGACCTCCGAGTGGCAATGACTGGTTCGAGAAGCAAACGAGTGGGACATTGGATATTGATTGCTCTTCCTGGATGGATTGGTTCTTTGGTGGTTTGCAATTCCAGTTGGAGCATCATTTGTTCCCCAGGTTGCCTCGATGCCAATTGAGGAAGGTTTCTCCAGTGGTGAAGGAACTCTGCAAGAAGCATAATTTGCCTTACCGGAGCTTGTCGTTTTGGGATGCGAATGTCTCGACAATAAGGACTTTGAGAACTGCGGCACTGCAGGCGAGGGACCTAAGCAACCCGGCTCCGGAAAATTTATTGTGGGAAGCTGTGAACACTCATGGTTGAGGGCTTGAGGTGGTTTAGTTTCTTGCTGAGGGTCTATTTTTCTCGGGCTGAAACTCATTTTCTATTTGTTTGCGGTTTCTAGGATGAAAAATCCTTGGTTCTTACACAAACATCCTGGTTTGATTTGTTCTCTGCTTTTATTTTATAAAATAAATATCAATCCTGATTTTCTACCTTGATTTTCTGCTTCTTTCAATCTACACCAGATAACACTAGTATACAATTTGAGACGGTATGAACATACAATGACCAGAAGGATGCTGTTAGCTTACATACAAATTAAAAATATATATACCATCATGTACACAAGTGATGCATCCTTTCTAGCAAAAATAGAAGAATTAGTGAACTTAGATTCTACTGACATGGGTGCAAACACACTCGTGAAGTTATCTTTATTTACTAGTTTTTGAATTTGAATTTTCCATTTCTTTTTCTGGAAGGGGTTTCACGTACTTACCAAATACCTGTTGACTGTGTTTATGCCTCTTCCCCTGTTGTTTATCCTTACTTTTTTGCTTGTTCCCCCCCCCCCTCTTTCTGTCGATTGCGAAGGTTTATCTCTCGATCGAGTACACCTCTCACAAGACAACCCCGCCTGTTGATGACCATAACCATCATTTTTCTGGTGGTCGGAATCGGCCTCCTCCACGAAATCCTCGTCCATGTCCCACAAACCACAAGCCTCTGTGCATCATCAGTTCCATAACCCATATTCACACGCCAATTATCTTTGCGTTATACATCAAACTCTATCCTTTCCACACATCAGCAGGAGAACCTGGAATAACATAATAACTTCCGGTATCAAAAGTAGAATAAATCGTCTGCGAAAGGAAGAAGAAACCAAATCACTGGAAATTAATCTCACGTTAAAACCATTATTAGATGCAAGAGCATTAAGGAAGTAATGTCACATGATTATCTAATAACTACTATTGGAAGTGTATATTGTCTCGAACGAACAGCAAGAGCTCTTTCATGGATGGTCCGTATGAGTGGACAAAGGTTCCTGCATAAAACTAGATCAAGTGAACTCATTGTTTTTAACCGACTCAGAAAAGCAACATTTCCAGTGAAATCTCTAAAATTATCATAGTAAAAGGATCAACAAAGCATATTTATGTCTACAGTATACACTCAAGTATTCTTAAACTTAGTACATAAAAGGTGTTGCCAAATGAGAATTTTAAAAACAAGTATTTTATCTGAACAGCAACCAAAATTCAAATTTGTACTTAAAAACAATTGCAGTTCATTTGTAGCTACAGTAAAACAGTCTTCTTCACCGAGAAAACTAATAAGAATCTACAGGGAAGACCGGAAGGGAATGAAATTGGGAAGAGGGAAAACATAAGAAAAATTAATTACGAGGAAGTTTTTCTTGCAGAGGAAATAGAATAATATATTTTACCTATAGAAAACACTCTTGGCCGAAAGAGAGCTAACAAGTATGCCATCATAGCTGCAGATGGAATGAGATTGTCAGTTCCAGAAGGTTCCTATGGAACTTTTCGGATGTCCTATCACAAAAGCCTTGGTATTTCATGTTTACAAGCTCCGATGAACCCGTCGGCTATGCCTATGACCCGATCCTTCGGAAGTGGTACGGCATTGAACTGCCTTGCATTCAGACTCCCAACTGGTTTATTGCTTCATCACGTGGCTTGGTTTGTTTCATGGACAATGACAGTAGAAGCGAGTTGCATGTCTGCAATCCGGTCACCAAAAACTGCAAGAAGCTTGAGGATCCCCCTGGTCTGAAATTCCCCGATTACGGTGCGCTGTCGATCTTGGTGAATAGGACGTCACACGATTATACTGTATACGTGTATCCATTGAGAAGTCTAAACAAGCTCCAGGAAATTTTTTCCAATGGGATGTTTCAATTCATATTTTGTTGAAAAGACGAAATAAAACACAAACTTTCGGTGGGATTTTGGCAATGATTCTTTCGGTGCAAGTGGTGCAAATTGCAGCATGATTTTGATGACTTTAGGTATGGGTAAAATCTAAATTTTAGTCATTGTAATATAGGGTATTTACAAATTATTCCTTAAGCTTCAACTATAAATATCCTAGCTCATTTAGCTTCAAAACTATCCCAAATCATTCTAGCTTTCTCCCAATACTAGAGAATTTAGAGAGTTTCTTGAGAGCTGTTTTCCCCTATTTATTAAGGGAGAATTATCATTGTTTTCTCCTTGGTAGATCGAGAGAAGTTGTAATTCCTATTTTCCCATAGTGAAATTCTTCTACCGTTGCTCGTAGTTATTACCCTATATTATTTAGGAGTTTTCCACGTAAAATTTTTGTCTTCTTTATCTTTATTTTATTTTCTCAAATTATCAATTGCGATTTTGCTCTATTGTCTTTGTGGTTGCCACCAAAAGGTAGATCCTCCAACATAAGAAAGTAAGAAGGTATTACCCATTCTTTTAAGGTTCCAGAGAACTATTCACGATAGTGAAATAGTGGGATCTATCCGTAATAGAAGCTATGGCAACGAAATTTGATATTGAAAAGTTAAATGGGAGAAATTTCTCATTGTAGAAATTGAAGATGAAGGTCATCTTGAGGAAAGACGGTTGTCTAGCAGCTATCAGTGAAAGGCCAGTAGATTTCACAGATGACAACAAATGGATCGAGATGGACGGGAATGCTATGGCAAACTTTCATCTAGCATTAGCAGATGAAGTATTGTCAAGCATCGAGGAGAAGAAGACAACTAAGGAGATATGGGATCATCTCACCAAATTGTAAGAGGCCACATCGTTGCACAATAAAATTTTCCTTAAGAGAAAATTGTACACTCTCCGAATGTCAGAATCTCCTTCAATGACGGAGCACTTAAACACGCTGAACACTTTATTTTCTCAGCTTACATCTTTAAGATGTACAATAGGAGAACAATAACGTGTTGAACTTCTACTTCAAAGTCTACATGATTCGTATGATCAACTCATCATCAACTTGACAAACAGTAATGTCACCAGTCTAGTTTTCGATGACGTTGCAGCTGCTGTTCTACAAGAAGAAAATCGGCGCAAGAACAAGTAAGACAGACAAGTAAATCTGCAACAAGCAGAAGCGTTGACAACAATGAGAGGGAGATCAACATAACGTGGTCAAAGTAGTAGTCACAAACATGGTAGATCGAAGTCGAGGAGCATGAAGAATTTAAAGTGTTACAATTGTGGAAAGAATGGTCACTTGAAGAAGGATTGTTAGTGTCTAAGTAAAAACTCCAATCCACAAGGCAATACCGCATACTTCAGATGATGGAGATACTCTATGCTATGAAGCGTCAACCACCGTGGAAGATAGAAAGAGATATGCAGATATATGACTCATTGATTCGGAAGCAACATATCACATGACCCCAAGAAGAGAATGATTTCATCATTATGAACTTATCTCAGGAGGATCTGTGTATAGTTGCAATGATCATGCCTTAGAGATCGTTGGCGTGGGAACCATCAAATTGAAGATGTATGATGGAACAATTAAAGTTGTTCAAGATGTGCGACATGTGAAAGGCCTGAAGAAAAATTTATTATCCTACGGATTGTTGGATAATAATGCGAGCAAGATTGAAACACAGAAAGGAATCATGAAGGTGTTCTGTGGAGCGCTTATGGTGCTGAAAGACGAAAAGATAGCTGCAAACTTGTACATGCTGAAGGGAGAGACTTTTCCAGAAGCAGAAGCCTCTGTTACCTCATGTAGTTCAGATTCTGCAATGCTATGGCATCAAAAACTTGGACATATGTCAGAACAATGAATGAAAGTCCTTGTGGAGAAAAAGCTACTTCTAGGCATAACAAATGTATCACTTACTTTGTGTGAGCATTGCATAACAAGTAAGCAACATCGGTTGAAATTCAACACATCAAATTCTAGAGGCAAAAGTGTTCTAGAATTGGTTCACTCTGACGTATGGCAAGCACCAGTTGCATCCCTAGGCGGAGTAAAATATTTTATCTTATTTATTGATGACTACTCCATGAGATGTTGGGTGTACCCTATTAAGAAGAAGTCAGATGTGTTTTCAACTTTCAAAAACTTCAAGGCGCGGGTGGAACTTGATTCTGGAAATAAGATCAAGTGTTTCAGAACAGATAATGAAGGAGAATACACAAGTGAAGAATTTGATGACTTTTGCAGGAAAGAAGGCATCAAAAGACAGTTCACAGTGGCGAACACTCCTCAACAAAATGGAGTGACAAAGCGGGTGAACATAACCTTGTTAGAAAGAACAATAGCAATGTTGAGGGATGCAGGCCTAGAAAAATCATTTTGGGCAGAAACAGTCAATATCGCCTGTTATTTGGTGAATCGAGCTCCATCAATTGTAATAGAGCTGAAGACACCAATATAGACGTGGACTGGTAAATAAACTAATTATTCAAACCTCCATGAATTTTGGAAGTGTTGTGTACGTGATGTACAACTCCCAATAAATTTCAAAGTTTGATCCAAAATCCAAGAAATGCAAATTCTTGGGGTATGTTGATTGTAACACCCTCAACTCGTATCCGACCCGGATACAAGTCTGAGGTGTCACATTGACTTTCCAAACTTTTAACTTTTAACAAAAACCAATGAAATTTAAAACTTTTATTAAAATAACATTGTCACTGTACACGAGTTAACCAAAACAAGACAAAACTAATCAGAGCATTTGTAACTAACACTTTTCTTACATGCCAACACACTACATACAACAAAATACCTACTGTGACTTTACTTCTGATCTGATCGCTGAGTAGAGATATATTGATCTGCAAATTCCTATTCTTGATTCTCCTGCTCTTCGAAACCTACGTGTAAAAACACTTACACGCTAAGTCATAGACTTAGTGAGACATAATTACATAATAAAGAATTACTAAAAATATAAACATGTCGTCTACTATCCAAACGCAATTATACTATCATACCATCATTTATTATACCACATATGAGCCAATATAAATCATAATAATACCATATTAAGAAACAATTATATACATCCTCGTTATGTCTTATTTAAGCCCATATACACTATTGAGAACCCAAGATATACGAGCATTATGAGGTTGTGCACACGTATGATGTCACCACAGCTCAATGAATGTTCTGAAGGACCTATCCAGATGTCACAAAGATCATCGGTAACTATCCAGAGGTCATGAAGATCCTCGGTAACTATCCAGAGGTCATAAAGATCCTCGGTAACTATCCAGAGGTCATAAAGATCCTCGGTAACTATCCAGAGGTCATAAAGATCCTCGGTAAC